AATATTTGAAGATGCAGTTCGTCCTAGCAATTTCCATGGTAGGGTTAGATTGGAATAAGGAAAATAATACTCCTAGAAATATTTGAAGATGCAGTTCGTCCTAGCAATTTCCATGGTAGGGTTAGATTGGAATAAGGAAAATAATACTCCTAGAAATATTTGAAGATGCAGTTCCTAGCAATTTCCTAGTTAGATTCGAATTTCTAGAAATATTTGAAGTGCAGTTCGTTAGCAATTGGAATGGAATAGGAAAATAATACACCTAGAAATATTTGAAGATGCAGTTCGTCCTAGCAATTTCCATGGTAGGGTTAGATTGGAATAAGGAAAATAATACTCCTAGAAATATTTGAAGATGCAGTTCGTCCTAGCAATTTCCATGGTAGGGTTAGGCTGGAATAGGGAAAATAATACTCCTAGAAATATTTGAAGATGCAGTTCGTCCTAGGGTTGAGCTGGAATAGGAAAATTTCCATGGTAGTGTTAGATGGAATGGAATAAGGAAAATAATGCAGTTCCTCCATGGTAGTTAAAATATTTCCTAGAAATATTTGAAGATGCAGTTCGTCCTAGCAATTTCCATGGAAGGCTGAAATATTGGAAATGCAGTTCGTCCTAACAATAAGGGGTTGGTGCAGAATAGGAATAAGGAAAATAATACTCCTAGAAATATTTGAAGATGCAGTTCGTCCTAGCAATTTCCAGATGGAAGTAGGGTTAGGCTGGAAAGGAAAATAATACTCCTAGAAATATTTGAATTGGAATAAGGAAAATAATAATCCTCCTAGAAATATTTGAAGATGCAGTTCGTCCTAGCAATTTCCATGGTAGGGTTAATTGGAATAAGGAAAATAATACTCCTAGAAATATTTGAAGATGCAGTTCGTCCTAGCAATTTCAGGAAGGTCAGATTTGGAATAAGGAAAAATAATACTCCTGAAATATTAGATGCAGTTCGTCCTAGCAATTTCCAAGTGTTAATTGGAATAAGGAAAATAATCTAGAAATATTTGAAGATGCAGTTCGTCCTAGCAATTTCCATGGAAGGGTTAGATTGGAATAAGAAAATAATACTCCTAGAAATATTTGAAGATGCAGTTCGTCCTAGCAATTTCCATGGTAGGGTTAGATTGGAATGAGGAATAATAGGAAAATAATAGCAATTTCCATAGAAATAAAATAATTTGAAGATGCAGTTCGTCCTAGCAATTTCCATGGAAGCTGGGGTTAGATTGGAATAAGGAAAATAATACTCCTAGAAATATTTGAAGATGCAGTTCGTCCTAGCAATTTCAAGATTGGAATAAGGAAAATAATACTCCTAGAAATATTTGAAGAGATCCATGTCCTAGAATATGGGGTAGGCTGGAATAAGGAAAATAATACTCCTAGAAATATTTGAAGATGCAGTTCGTCCTAGCAATTTCCATGGCAATTTTCAAGGGTTAGATTGGAATAAGGAAAATAATACTCCTAGAAATATTTGAAGATGCAGTTCGTCCTAGCAATTTCCATGGAAGGGTTAGATTGGAATAAGGAAAATAATACTCCTAGAAATATTTGAAGATGCAGTTCGTCCTAGCAATTTCTATGGTAGTGTTAGATTCGAATAAGGAAAATAAATACTCTAGAAATATTTGAAGATGCAGTTCGTCCCTAGCAATTTCCCATCCTAGAAATATTTAGAAAATAATACTCCTGGAAATATTTAGTTCGTCCTAACAATTTCCATGGAAGGGTTAAATTGGAATAAGGAAAATAATACTCCTAGAAATATTTGAAGATGCAGTTCGTCCTAGCAATTTCCATGGAAGTGTTAGATTGGAATAAGGAAAATAATACTCCTAGAAATATTTGAAGATTAATTTCCATGGTAGTTCGTCCTAGCAATTTCCATGGAAGTGTTAGATTGGAATAAGGAAAATAATAGTTCGTCCTAGAAATATTTGAAGATGCAGTTCGTCCTAGCAATTTCCATGGTCTAGCAATTTCCAAGTAGGGTTAGGCTGGAATGGAATAACCTAGAAATATTTGAAGAAAAATAATACCTGGTAGGTCAGAGAAAATAATACTCCTAGATATTTGCAGCAGTTCGTCCTAGCAATTTTCCATGAAGTAGGTTAAATTGGAATAAGGAAAATAATACTCCTAGAAATATTTGAAGATGCAGTTCGTCCTAGCAATTTCCATGGTAGTGTTAGATTGAATAAGGAAAATAATACTCCTAGAAATATTTGAAGATGCAGTTCGTCCTAGCAATTTCCATGGTAGGGTTAGATTGGAATAAGGAAAATAATGGAAGGAAAATAATCCTAGAAATATTTGAAGATGCTGTTCGTCCTAGCAATTTCCATGGAAGGGTTAGATTGGAATAAGGAAAATAATACTCCTAGAAATATTTGAAGATGCAGTTCGTCCTAGCAATTTCCATGGTAGGGTTAAATTTGAATAAGGAAAATAATACTCCTAGAAATATTTGAATATGCAGTTCGTCCTAGCAATTTCCATGGTAGTGTTAGATTGGAATAAGGAAAATAATACTCCTAGAAATATTTGAAGATGCAGTTCTTCCTAGCAATTTCCATGGAAGGATTAGATTGGAATAAGGAAAATAATACTCCTAGAAATATTTGAAGATGCAGTTCGTCCTAGCCATTTCCATGGTAGGGTTAGGCTGGAATAAGTAAAATAATATTCCAAGAAATATTTGAGATGCAGTTCGTCTAGCAATTTCCATGGTAGAGTTTGCAGTTCTTCTAGCAATTTCCATGGAAGGATTAGATTGGAATAAGGAATGCAGTTCGTCCTAGCCATTTCCATGGTAGGGTTAGGCTGGAATAAGTAAAATAATACTATTCTAAGAATATGCATTTCGTCCGAGCACTTTCCATCGTAGAGAGAGTTTGCTGTTTGGAAGAATTTGCGGATGCAGTTCTTCCTAGCACTTTTCATGGTAGAGAAAGGTTGGAGGGTGGAAAATAATAATCCTAAAAGAATATGGTGATGCAGTAGTTCGTACTAGCATTTTCCGTGGTAGGTGGAAGTATGGAACATGGAAAATAATACTCTTACAAGAATATTCAGATGCAGATCGTCCGAGAACTTTTCATGGAGGTTGGAATGTGAAAAAAATTACTCTTGAAAAAATATGGAGATGCATTTCGTCCGAGCTCTTTGCATGGTAGAGAGAGTTTGGAATCTGGAATATAATACTCCTAAAAGAATTTGAAGATCCAGTTCCTCCTAGCACTTTCCATGGTAGGGGTGGTTTGAATATGGAAAATGATACTCCTACAATAACTTGGAAATGGCTTTCTTCCGAGCACTTTCCATGGTACGGAGTTGTTAGATTGTGGACAATTATTCTCTTACAAAAATTTGGAAATGCAGTTCGTCCGCGCACTTTCCATAGTAGAGAGAGGTTGGAGTTTGAAAAATAATACTCCTACAAGAATTTGAAGATGAAGTTCATCTGAGCACTTTCCACGGTAAGCGGAGGTTGGAGTTTGGAATATAGTACTCTTTAAAGAATTTAGAGATGGATTTTGTCCGAGCACTTTCCATGGTAGAGACAGTTTGGAGTTTGGAAAATAATGCTCCTACAAGGATTTGTATATGCATTTCGTCCGAGCACTTTCCATGGTAGAGAGAGGTTGCTGTTTGAAAAATGATACTCCTACAAGAATATGGAGATGCAGTTTGTACGTTCACTTTCCATGGTATGGGGAGGTCGGAATTTGGAAAATAATACTCCTATAAGAATTTGGAAATGCAGTTCGTTCGAGTACTTTCCATGCAAGGGAGAGGATGGAGTGTGGAAAATCATACTCCTGAAAGAATATGGAGATGCAGTTCGTCCGTGCACTTTCCATGGTAGAGAGAGTTTGGAGCGTGGAAAATAATACTCCTACAAGGATTTGGATATGCAGTTCATCCGAGCACTTTCCATGGTTGAGAGAGGTTGGAGTTTGGAAAATAATTCTTCTACAAGAATATGGATATGCATTTCGTCCGAGCACTTTCCCAGGTAGAGAGAGGTTGCTGTTTGAAAAATGATACTCCTACAAGAATATGGAGATGCAGTTTGTCCGTGCACTTTCCATGGTATGGGGAGGTCGGAATTTGGAAAATAATACTCCTACAATAATTTGGAAATGCAGACCGTCCGAGCACTTTCCATGGTAGAGAGGAGTTGAAGTTTGGAAATTAATATTCCTCCAAGAATTTGTAGATGCAGTTCGTCCGACCACTTTCCATAGTAGGGGGAGTTTGAATTTTGGAAAATAATACTCCTACAATAATTCGGAGACGCTTTTGAACCCTCTCAAACCTGGAAATTGAGGTCTGGGTAATTGCTGGCAGAATTATGCAACTGTAATCTATTTTTGATCTGATCTGTCTCTTAGAAGATATTAAGAGGAGTCAGGTACGTACTGGGGTGGTAAAGGGTTATTTCATTCTTTTTACAAATATCCAATTCTTTCATGGTGTCATCAATGTTTAATTTTTCGACTATCTTCCAATTTTTGATTTTTCCAGCAGACCAAAGCCTCGTATATTTCCGTTTTGGAGCCAACATCCGAGGCATTTCAGTGATAAATTAAAATTTTCTTCTTCTCTTTTTTGCGAATGGTTCTTTTCTTTCTTATAGAGTTTATTTTACAAATATTTTTGTTTTCACTCTAGAATTTTATCCCTTTTGTATTTCTTCTCGCCAGCCACAAAAGCATTGTAATAATTACCCATGATGCAATCTTAAAAAAGAAAGAACTAAAATGACCACCTCAAATCGAAAGATAAAACACAACCGATATTCGGGGACAAAGACATTCGATTATTTTAAGGACATCTTATTTAGTTATCAAATGATATCATGAAAGTAATTTTCCTATTCGGGTGCATTTTGCTGTAAACGGGGGCGGGGGCAGATGATGAAAAGAAAACATGGCGATAAGGCGCAAGAGATGATTAAGAAGGAAGTGATCGATTAATCTTGAGTAATGCTCTTCTGTCAGTTTTTAATTTATTTCTCTAATATCCACTCTTACTATCTCTCTCACTTTCTTTCTCTTTCATTCCCTCTCTATCTATCTATCTATCTATCTATCTATCTATCTATCTATCTATCTCTCTATCTATCTCTCTCTCTCTCTCTCTCTATATATATATATATATATATATATATATATATATATATATATATAGTTATCCTATCTATTTTTGAGGATTATTTTCATATCTATCTATCTATCTATCTATCTATCTATCTATCTATCTATCTTAGTCTTCTATCTATCTACTATCTATCTATCTATCTATCTATCTATCTATCTATTTACAATCTTTTCATACCTATCTCTATATGTATTAATCATTCAACCTATTCATTTGTGTGGAGTGTTCATATTTTTCCAATCTATATATCTGTTTACGTACACACACATACCTATACATATATATATATATATATATATATATATATATATATATATATATATATATATATATATATATATATATATATGCGGTGATTCGATTTCTAATTCTAACCTCTTGTATATCGACTCGCATATACTTTCTATATTATTTCGCCATTCGTTTACTCCTAACGTCAAGAAATGATGGCCACATTGAAGTAATTTTTCAATACAATTCGTCATCATTTACATTCAAACTATGAACACCATCTTTGCTGCCAGTATGAAAACACTCTGTGCCCTTTTTTAGCGTCTTTCAATCCTCATAGACTTTCAACAGAACCCTTTATTTTATCGACAGCTTCCATTGTCCTTCGTCTTCTTTTGTCCTGTCTAGGGGCATCTCGTCTTAATCCTTTTCCTTCTTTTCATTTACTGTTTCAACAGAGTATTTACTACCTGGACAAAGAAATAAATTCTCAATTTCAATCCCACTAAATTTCAATTTAAACCATTTGACAGTCATGAAAACTTAGAGTTTAAACATTCATCTTCTTATTGCTTGACTGCTAATGTTTCTTCAGTGATTTTTACGCTTGCCCAACTTCGCCGAAAATTATCTTTTTTTGCTGCTTCTAATGAGGCTTTGCTGTCATTTCTTTTTATGTCTTTATTAATGCCTCCGATGTGGCATTTTTATCTATGTTATGTATATTAGTACTGATTCTATAGTTTTTTCCATGTTTAATTCTTTTTCTTTATATTCAACAGAAATTTGTTAACCAACCCTTCCCTCTATACATGAGCAACCATACCACATTTCATTGTCTCAACTTTTATTATCGCTTTTCGATTCATTCCATATATTTTCGGAGAGAGGAATGTTGTTGTTTTATTGGAGTCTTTTAACGCATATAAGAAATAACTTTTCTCTTTAACAAATTAAAATATGAAATATTTAAAAAGAGTTATAGGAATGCAAATGAAACAAAAAAGTAATTGGCATCCTGGTCTCTCCTACTTTCTAATTAAATATTCCATTTTTATACTAGAATATATCGTGTTCGTTTTTTGATGTAAAAAAATACTTAGTGTTACCATGAAACGGGCTATCTCATATATTAATTTGTAGGGAAGATTGTGCTGCATGATCGTTGAATATATAAAGTCACATTATATTCGAATGATACATGAATAAAACACACAGACACACACAGACACACACACACACACACACACACATATATATATATATATATATATATATATATATATATGAAACTGCATCGATCTATTTGCTGGATGGTTGTAGACTAAGAAGTTTGTATACTTAGCTTTGATGCTTGTAACTGGTTATGTTCAGTATTTCGAATTGTTATTTCCTTGAAGCTAGGTAGGGTTAGGGTTAGGGTTAGATAGCTATTCGATTCACAATTGAAAAGAGAATGTACTAAACAACTGTCGGCCATTTTAAGCAATTAGTGCATTTCTTCTGCTTAAAAACATCTGTTATAAGCACATCGTATAAATATGGAAGTTAATGCTTTCATCTTTTTCTCTATCTCCAAGACACACACAATACTCTCTCTCCCTCTCTCTCTCTCTCTCACTCACTCTTTCTCTCTCTCTGCGCAGAAAAGAAACAAGAAAAGACCCATTGAAGAATTTTAACAAAGTTTGCCTTTGCATATCCAGATATTGCTTAATATAACCACATATATTCAAATGTTTCAAAATCAGTGATTCCATCGATATATGACATCCAATATCTATCTTCTCTTTATCACAGGCTATTCATGTCTGTCTGTCTATGAATCACAGAATATACTTATATATTTATCAATCTATTACAGTCAATTCTTATTTATGTGACTACCTATATATATATATATATATATATATATATGTGTGTGTGTGTGTGTGTGTGTGTGTCTATATATATATATATATATATATATATATATATATATATATATATATATATATATATATATACTATCTAATCTGCACATATGTATCATTCTCAGTCTATTAATGTAAATTTACCTAATGATCGATATATACAATTTGTACAAATAGTCTGTCCATCTGCGTAAATTTATCCATAGCTATCTATCTATCTATATGCGACTACGTATACATACATACATATATATATATATATATATATATATATATATATATATATATGTGTGTGTGTGTGTGTGTGTGTGTCTTAAAATAATTGTCGGACCTTGTCTATTTCATAATGTGTGACGTAAATGGTTTACATTTAGATACGCCATGATTTGGATACAGGTTGGATTCTTGTCGGAGGACGAATATTTCTATGAAAATTTCTCGGACATTCAGGCCTGGAAATGTTGTTTAATAAAGTTTATTATATACAGAGCATTTACTTAAATATTTGTATCTATAAAAAGAATGTATAAACATAAAAATTCTTAAAAAATATATATATATATATATATATATATATATATATATATATATATATATATTCATGAATTATTCACACAAAAACAAAAAAGGTTAATGATTTAATTGGAAAGAAATCCATCGCAAACAATTCAAATAATATACAAAAACCTCCGTATCAAATCCATTTATGAACGGATTGATCCTTTTTTATATAAATGAATTGCCGTATGATGGATTTCTCGCCAATTAAATCATTAACCCTTTGCTTTTTGTTTTGTGTGAATAATTCATGAATTTGTAAATTGATTGCACGTTTATCGTAATATATATATATATATATATATATATATATATATATATATATATATATATATATATATATATATCTATCTAGTCTACACATATGTATCATCCTCAGTCTATAAACGTAAATTTACCTCACGATCTATATATATACAAAACGTGCAGATCGCCTGTCTATCTGCCTAAATTTATCCATATCTATCTATCTATCTATCTATCTATATATATATATATATATATATATATATATATATATATATATATATATATATGTTCCACGATATATAACAATGTGTGTAGCGTAGCGCCCTGTCGGGTGAATGTTCAGAATACACCGACTTCAGCTCTGCAAAGGAGTAAGATCTCTCCCAATGAGGCGACCTGGGCATAGCAATATGCTAACTACGATAGCAAGGCCTCTGATCAGGAGGTTTTGTGAAGCGTGGAGCCACATATTAATTACTGTTGTTCCCAGTGCCACCCTGACCCGTAATGGTAACACCTGTTTGTGTCCCTGATATGGACAAATAGTTAGCACCCAAACTTGGATGAAAACACTATGAACACTACTACAAAAAATATCTGCAATACATTTTTGAAGAAAAATATTATTACCAGCAATGCATTTGAACGTCAACAAAAACGTCTTTACAAAAATCATCAAAACCTCACCTACAAACTGGTTTCTTACAAAGAATACATATACTATTCATAGGAAACTATCCTCAAGATTTTTCGGCATTAAATAACCCATTAAGGTGTTGATATACCGTAATACAAAATAAACTAAACCCAACCAAACCAATGTTTGCATATGTCATATCTCTCAGCTAATTTTTATCTTAATTTGTTTTGATCTTTCTCAAACTGTTTTAATCTATCTATCTATCTATCTATCTATCTATCTATCTATCTATCTATCTATCTCACTGTCTTCATGTCTATCTAATTATCTATGTGGAATAAAAAAAAATCATCCGTTGTTATGATTAAAGAAAATCAAGTTCTGTTTTGCTAATGTAAATTTTGTTGGAACATAAAACGTTTTCTGATTGATCGACGAAACATTAAAAATTGTTTTCGAAAATGTACTATCTATCTATCTATCTATATATATATATATATATATATATATATATATATATATATTGTTTTTTCATATCTATCAATGTTCGTTTGTTCATATCTGTCTATTTCGCTATATATGTCCATTATAGACAAGAGGTCAAACAAGTGGTCATTAATCTTGCTTGTTAGTCGAACTCAAATTTACGGAAACTCCTACTGAACCGCGGCCGAATACTTCAAAATTTTAGGAGAACATCTTCAAGAGCTCAGAACTCAGGTTGCTTCCAACGTCGTACTGCCTCTGCCTAATTAGATCACTCAAACGTTCATATGGCGGAGTTTCTTTCACGCACACGCATATATATATATATATATATATATATATATATATGAATTCTATACCCCAATTTCTCTTCTATTAATTGCTCTGCACCATACGGTAATATATATATATATATATATATATATATATATATATATATATATATATATGAGTGTAAGCACGCACGGATGTGTATACTTGGCATATAACTTGATAGTTTAAGGTATACAGTTTATTGTTTCTAAACATATTTAAACAGTATAGTTATGTCCGTGTGTCTTCATGTGAGTTTAACACACACACACACACACACATATATATAAATATATATATATATATATATATATATATATATATATATATATATATATATATATATATATATATATATATATACGGAGCCACATCTACTTTTACATATTTCAAAAAGCTCATTCTATATTCCACGCTGGTGTAGCTCAATGGTTATAACTCATTTAAAAATAGAAAGGTTATTATCACGAATGTATCTTTGCCGCTTATTACATTAAAGTAATAATGTCGAGTTTTTGATCTTGAAAAGCCACGGCATTGTACGTTTCTTTCAACATGTTCATTCCGATCGTTTTATTATTTGCCTAAAATGTTTAAGTAATAATTATTAAGTTCATATAATAAAAGACAATTTCTATTTGTTTCGCCTAAGGTTCTTCTTCATCAGAAAAAATAAATTTTATTTCAACAAAATGTACATTCGTGAGACTTAATCTGCTACACCTACAGGAGTTAAGCGCTTAATTTTTTTTAAATTAATTGAAGCGCTTTAAAAATTATATTTTAATTCATTTTAGCTCATAAGGCAATGGTGTGTCTTCTCACCGGACTTATTCACCCTTTACAGTGAAGTTCTTCTAAGAGAATCATAGTTTACGTTAGGGTACGTTATGGATATTTCGAGAATCAGCAGAGAGTGTGCGTTCAAAAGCACTATTCAGGCTTTGTTTAACCGTAAGTCCTACGTGGCTGAGCGGTTAGGCACATTAGATCAAATGACGGTTCCCAGATTACGTATATTATTGTCTGAGAAGTGTTCTCAAATATTCAGGTCGGTAGATGTAATAGGATAAAATATACTTTTTAATTAAAAATGAGTATCCACCAAAAATAACGTTTAAACAAAATAAAAATAAAAACAGATAGATAGATAGTAAATCCGTTGATATGTAACCCAAGTGAAACCTAGTAATATAAAATATTAAAACTGATCCACAAAAAGATCTCAATGTATTTGTTATTAGAGTGCAGATAATTAATAAATAATAAAATGCAAAATCACCTCATATGGAGAATAGCGTATTTCGGCAGATGAAGATACTGGTCGTCTGTCTTATCAACCCGGTTTTTG